CAACTTGTAATCCTAGCTGATGTATTAATATCACCCAGTTATTATGCTTGAAGCAATCTAATGATTTTGTGCAGTAACTGCATATCCTGTGATGTTTTCCTTCTCTTTCTCAAATCAAGAATCGAAATGATAAGAATACCCCGGTTTTTTCGTTCTTTAAAACTTATTCGTGCCCAGTATAATCAACTGTCATATTCAAGATTGTTTCTCTTTTTTGTTTGTTGCGAAATTTGCGTATTCTGCTTTTTGTTTGTTATTAAGAAAAGAAAACTTTGATTTTTTTCCCTTTATTACGAAACGGAGACGATTCTTTCCTGTTTTTTTTGTTTTTTTTATTATATAAATATATATATGTACACATATATATTAAAAAAATCAGAAAGAATTTTTTGCTTTAGATAAAATATCGAATAAATAATATATCTATCAAGAATATAGTAAAAGTGGTGAGAAATTTAGTGCATGAAAATGAGTTAATCGCGAAGTTGAAATGCATGTTCGTATAACCTTTTTAATATCTGGTATTATTGATTATATGCTAGTAGTTTGTAGAATTTTAGAAAATCATTATATTAAAATTTGTAAATTTTGTTATTCACTTTGAGATGATGAGGTAAGATGAGGAACTATATATATGTCGTGTGGATATTATAAGTCCGATAAAATAAGATTAATGAAGTTCATATCAGAAGACTGAAAGTTGCACATATGTAGTTTTTCGATAGTGGTACTTCCTGTTTAGTTTCGCACTCATAGTTATCTCAACAATTTGTTGAATTGCGTTTTCCATTGACTATTATCATTCGTATTTGTCACAAATAATGATGATATTGGTGTAGCCATTGTGTTGGAGACGAATCGTTAGTGAACAGAAAGCATATGTTTTATTCAAGAGAAACATGTATCAGATTATCGAGGCACAGCGGTAAAGGTAAACCTCAAAAAACGTAATACATATGACAAGCAGACAGATGAAAAAGTTAAGAAAAAGCCGAAACATATGTGCTGTGTTAATAAACAAACCGATAAAGCAGAACGAAAAGGAAATACATATGTAACGAGTATAATCAAAAAATATTATAGTTTCAGTCTTCTCAAAAGAATTCGATACGACATAATATATGATTTTATCTACAGGGGCGGATCCAGTATTTCCATGAGGGTGTGGCGGTTTATAAAATAAAAATGGAGAGTAGTATTATTTTCCCGGAGACAAACCTATACTGTTCTACCTGTTTTCAGTATTTGTTGAAGTACCTATTCTCGAGTGGGTGACTGTCGCCGGTTCGCCTAGTAGCTAAATCCACCCCTGTTTATTTGTTCGTCTGTCTAGAAAGATATGATTTTTAGTTTTCTATTATCATTGTACTCGTCTACTCATAAAATAATTTCTACTGACTACATTAAAATAATTCGTATTGACAGAGAGTGATAAAACTATTACTAAATCAAATATTTGTCTTTAGATTAATAAACGTGTGTAGAAAAAAAAATATATAGAAAAAAGCAGGTAAATATATTACATATTAAAAAATAGATGGACTTTGATAAATTTTATCAAACTTTATTATATATTCGATAATACTATATTTTTTAAAAAAATTATCATATTCTAAGGTATCTAATAAATAACATCAATCAGGAGATGTAATCAATTTCCCATATAGATTTTGTATTTTCATACAAAAAAACATGAGTAATAGTAATCATATGACATAGAAACCAAAAAAGGATATTATTATGAGAATGATTCATCAATGTATAATATATATATGTCGAGAAAGAAGAACGCCTATTTTCTCTGACCTATGTATTCTAGTTATTCTTTACTTATTAGATATAAATAAAAATACGAATGTATAAGAACAAAGAAAATATCGATAAAATTTATAAAGAAAAACTTCAAAAACCGAATATATACAATACATTTTTACCATTTTATGATACTGTTAAACAACAAAGTTTAGAAACATTTGAAGAAATATGTGAAAATCTTTCACGTATTATACAATTACGTGAATTAAGACCAGGTTTTCCATTATGGTCATCAAAATTACAACAATTTATTTCACTTTATGGTTTTTGTTTCTCTAAAACTGATCATATTAAATTAATTCATTTATATTTATCAATACTTTCAATTCCGGATTTGAATTATTCAAATGCAAAAACAAGTTTTGATATTATTGATGAACTTTTAAAGTTAGTTCTTATTTTTTTAAA